TTTATGATGAGATCCAATACCAACACATTAATAGAGTACAGTACAAACTTGAGAATAAACTGAGAATTTTACTATTGGTGCCAAAATGCACCTCCAAAAATGGCTTTGGCTTATCTGCGGACTGGCTTATTCACAAATATAAACAGTAATAATTTTTAAAGCACCCATATTTGCTATATATATTCATATATATAAGCCCATCCATGAACCAGCAGAGATTGGTGGATTTTGAGTGAAAAACTTGATTAAAAATGCCATTAAAAGATGGATTAATATATCAATGGGCAGCACATTTTTCATGGTATTTTAGTTAAAAAATTAAGAGTTGTCTTATGTGTAGATGGACTTATAAGTGAACATATAAAATAAAGTCGTTCCAAATCAGTTTCAGGGATTAGTAGACAAAAATAGCAGTTGCCAATATATTCAGAATATAGTATTCAATTCTTCCTCACCATCCCCTAACTTTTGCTATGTGTGCCTGTAAAAATATATTTCACAGATGGGAAGTTGTGAGGCAAGACCATCAAAACCTTACTAGATTTAAGGTAATTTTTGTGGGCTACGAGCTGGAAACACACCACTGAATGAGATCACCTGGCAGTACTGGAACCTGAAAAGGCTGCGGCCCTATGTTACATTATTTCGTATATGTAATAGGCACTACCATAATTGGACATTAAACTCCATGACTATGTAATAAGCATGCTCAGTAAAACATACTAGGAAAACAAGTTCTTGTTTACAAAAATCAGAGAGATAATTATTGTTATTTAATTTACCCACTATGGTGCCAAATCAGGCATCCTGATGTTGGGAAAAAAAAGAGACTAAAGTTCAATCAGCAAGAAATAAAAAAGATGTGGAATAATCTATTTGACATACCATTAGCGCCAACATACGTCTAGACTGTATGAATATACTATGCTCATAGCAATCTCTTACAACAATGTATACCCCTTGTCATATTCACAATAAAGGCTTATTTTACAATTTCTTTAAAAAACTTCCTTTAAGGGTTACTTCTTGCAAGTATGATTTGAAATCAGTCCACAAGGAATTCAAACACATTGGGCATGTGTATGCATGTGTATGCTGGACTGATAAAATCCAGGTTGGTATGTGGGCTAGCATGATGTAGACGTATTGCTAGCATTAGGTTTCAGATGTTTTCAGTTTATTCCCACATACCATCATATCAAGGCCTGTGTTCCATAATAGCGATAGCTCTTATATACTTATATACCACTTCACAGTGCTTTACAGCCCTCTTTAAATGGTTTATAGAATCAGCATCTTGGGAATTTTTTTTACTGACATTGGAAGGTTGGAAAGCAGAGTAAACCTTGAGCCCTCAGAATCAAACTCCTGGAGTGAGCAGTGAGTTAGCCTGCAGCACTGCATTCTAACCACTGTGCCACCAAGACTCTTATAATCACAATAATTGCTCAGCTTAATCAACTTTACAGTGGCTGCTGGAATAATCAAATTGGAAGAAGTAATACAACTTACTGATTTACTTATTTATTTACTGAAGCTTATATACTACCACAATCAAAAAGGACTGAGCAGCTTACATTCCTTCTTTGGGAAAAAAGTATAATACAACAAAGAAACAACTAACCGCAGAACAAAAAAAAAATTAAAAACATGTACCCTGCTATACATATATCAAGAGCATAATGCGTGTATTTAAAGGAGATTTCACATTTAAATATAAAATTCAGTTGTATACCACATATTAAAATAAGTCGTACAAGTCCAGTGGCAGTCCCATCAGTCTTTGATAGTAAAGGAATCAACTATAGTAAAATAATAGATAATTTTCAACCTGTCAAAAATATATTCTTTCCCTTGAAATAGAAAAACTTGAAATGTACTAATGATTGTAAATATTTGAAACTCCACCTGACTTCATAATGGATTATTTTATTGTCTCTTACAAGAGAAAGGAAAAATAATAATAGTGTTAGTACTAATAGTAATAATAACATTTGAATAGTATTCTATAGTATTTACTTTTTCAGATTTCCAAGCTTGATTCTTAGTGTATTCTGCATCAACAAGATCTGGATTCTCTCGAGAAAGAAGAATGAGGGGGTCCCGTTCTGCACTTGTCCTACCACAGAAATCACATAGAACCATTAGATTGGCTTTCTTCCAATTTGACACTTTTCAAATAAATTGGTCAATAAATCATGTAATTCTAAAGTGAGCAAGTGAAAATTATAACTACCATCCATTGGTTTTCTGGGACTTTACTTGGAAAGATCAGCATGTCAGAAACATTTTATTTGCCTACTATTAGTGTCTCTCATTATCAGTTGGCTCCCACCACTCTCGGCATGGTATTATATAGTAAAAACATTCCTGAACATAGCCATAGCAAAAGTACTGGTGCCAAGAAAATAACAGAGATAAGTCTACATATTCCCCAGGAGCTGATATCAACTCAAGGAAATATACATATATTTCAATGGACCAATTTAATTTCCCTGAGCAGCGCAGTACAATATAATAATTATTTACAATATTAGGACTATCAAAGTACTTGAAAGGAAAAAAAAATGCTCACCTGGATCCTCGAAAATAGGCTTTGGAAATTTTCTTCTTCCAGGGCCATTTTTCTGCTGACCTAAGAATATTTTGATAAATACACAGTATTAAAATACTGACATTAATAGTTAATAGTAGTCAATAAAAAAACAAGCATACTGATTTTTATTCATTCACTTGATTCTCTTGATTTAGTTTCAGGACTTCTGTACAAATCATACTTTAGTTTATATTTATGCAAAAATATTGAAAATTAAAAAGGGCTCACAAACATTTAAGCACGGTTGTACTTCTGATATTGCTTTTCTGTTTACTTGCAGCTCATTGGGTGGAGACTAAATAGGATGCCAAAAAGAGAAAGAAAGAAGAGGTTGCTGCATTCAATCCCAGAATCCAATTCCCAACAGCATCTACCAAGGAAATGCCATCCACCAAATCAAAACAGTCCACCAAATCAAAACAAATCTCTGCATGTGAATTTTCCTACTGGCTTTCTAAAGCTTGGTTTTTTCTACCTTCTGCATGGATTTTTCTCAGTCTGAAGCAGAATTACATCATCTTAGATTAGCTTGACCAACATGCATTTCTTTTGAATTATACAGTCTGCAACTAAAGCCTGCAGCTTTCATTTAACAAAGTATAAGTTATTGCTCAGAATGAGTAACTGGTCCACATGGCCCTATTACAATTTAAATTTGGATTCTTTCATTTAAAAAAAAATACAGCAAAATTATTCTCTCCTCGGATTACCTTTGGAGGTTTTCTCTCATTAGGTCCCAACGCCCAAGGCCTGTAGGATATATTGGCCAAACAGCTGGTCCCCCTTCCCAAAATGTCCAGGCAGGGTACATAATATCATCGTATTCTGGAGTCTTTGAGAGAAAAAGGAGAGCAAAGCATGTTAGTTATACCAAAATATTCCATTCCATACAAGAGATTCAATGAAATATAGTATTTATCCTATCTAATGTGATTGATCAGTAATAGGTCTCTGTTCACTCACCTTGCTAAAAGATAAAACAGGCACTCTTGGTTTCATAAATTTGGGCACCTGGGGGTAGTCTCGCACATTGATGACCATCTCCATATCAGGAAGGTTCTGAATAATTTCCAGGATGAAGTGCTCAACCCCACTACATCTGTAGGCAATCAAATATCAAAAGGGTAACTATGAGTAGAATACACTGGCTATGTTTTACCCATCAGACTAAGGTGGTTAATTGGTTATTTAAAAAAACAAAACAAAACAAAGTCAACCTCACAGATGACCAAAGCAAGCAAAGGAGTTCACTTGGAAAATTATTTTTTTCCTTTCCTTTTTTAAAATGTTCTTGCTGAAAGAGGTTTGGACAGAGCATCAAAACAAGCCTCCCAAAAGCCAGGAAGGCTAGAGCAAGGATGTAACATGAGTAAATTTTTCAAACAAGTCTCTCTCCAGTTCATACAAGCATAAAGGGGGTCGGGGGATTCACAGATTAACATCAGTCTATTATTATAGCTTTACAATAAAGATAGTAGCGACCTAAGGCATCGATTTCTTAGTCTGCTGAACTTTGAGGGCTGAAACTACAACAGTTCCAGTCTTTCTGGTGGTGCTGTCTTCTGATCTGGTCTACCTCCAAGGGTTGACAGAAGTAAACAAATGGTGCCCAACTCATTCATGCTGCTTTTATGTCATTTTAATTAGCATGAATCTAAGCAAATTAGATTAAATTTTTATTTTATTTTCGCTGAACAGTTGTTAACATTTGAGTAAACATTTACTCAATAGCAGACATCCACAATGCTTAGAAAAAAAGAAAAAAAAATCAAAAGGAGATAAATGTACCATATTTACTTAGAATGTGTATAAATAAAAAAGACATTTTTAAACATTCTGTTCAGAATTTGGAATAGTTCCCATGTATAGAGTACACATACTAATCTAATCAGTGTCAAATACTAGTAATATGTTTTTCCACTGTATAAAAACTGAAGTGAATCTACCTGATTTCCATACGTCCCATTTCTTTCTTTAATATCACTATCTCATCACTTCTTTTAAAGCTAAAGTGTATATATCTTAATTGCAATAATAGTCTATAATTTTTTGACAGTTTACCCCTTTGGTTGTTCTAAATAATTATCTCTTGTATTTTCAAAAGCGCTAGAATGGCGAATTACTAAAATTCTAATCTCATTAGAAAATAACGGTTAAAATTACCAGAAAAATAGCTGATTGTCGCTCTATTTGTTCTTTACTGAGAGGCTCCGTGTTATTATGAAAATATTTATTCTTTAAAGATTACTTCTCACAAGCTTTTTTTATAACATAGTAACCATACCACCATTCATCTAACCCTGGGGTCCCCATCCCCCAGGCCACAATCTGATACTGGGTCATGGTTTGCTGGAAACAGGGCCATGCAAGCCAAGGCTGAGGGTGTGAAGCTCCATTTATGCAAGCAGTGGGTGCATGTGAAACCATCCCCCCTCCCACTCCCGCAATGCTATCCACAGAACCGGAAAGGTTGGGGGGACCACTGATTTAAAAGACATAATCCACTCAACTTGCATTCCTAAATAATATTTCAACCAGTTAAGATTTAACACTGTGTTAAATATCAGAAAAGGTACAGACCTCCTATCCTATGGAAGGATGTCCCATAAGAGGCAAAATGGTTCGTCAAAAGTAGGATGAAGTCGAAGTGGTTAAAAGAAAATGTTAAAATGGGCTGAATGACCAGACTGAGATTGGATAAAAATTACACCATTCCAATGACAGGAATAGGATGGACGCATTGCAGAGATGAGAACCTGGGCTGAGCCGGGGGGGTGGAGGGCAGGGCGGGGGGGAGAGAAAGCACCATACCATTAACTGATATTATAAAGAGTGCTTTTTCTTTTACTTCCATCATAAAGCACATAAAATAAAGCCACAGGCCTTTACCTGACAATCCAGCAACTATAAGTAATAATACATAACAATTATTCTTTTCCCTCATTTATTTATTCCTGATTTCTTTTAGCTTTTAACCCATATCATCTTCTTGCACAACTAAAGTGCAGTGTCAATATTGATTTCTCACAAAAGCAAATCCATTTCAAGCAAGGTAATACAAAATTGGTTAGTTCCCTTACATTAGAGTTCAGCCCTTTCTGCTCAATGATCCATAAATTAATGGCACAAGGAGATTTTCCTGTTTTTCTCTCCTGTTCTCTTTTTGAGTATATGATTGACAGATTTCATATCTCACCTTGCAGGGAACATGCAATCATGTTCCCGGTACAACTTCTTCTCAATGATCTGATAGTGTGTCCCAAGTTTTCGACGGATTGCTTCTGACAGCAACTCCTCAGAGATTCCATCTCGAAAAGGAGCCAAGTCTTGTTCCCTAACTCTAAAGTGAAAGAGATTGTTAAATACTAGAGGTTAGTGTATTAACAGTTAACAAGAAGGTTAGGAATAGTTTTGCTTGGCGAAGATTCAGTGCGGATTTGGAATCAGCCATACTAATGGGGCAAGGTGAAGTAGCAAATGAGGTAGAGAAGATTCAGTGTTATCTCCAGCTACCTCCAGTCACCTCCCCAACAATTCCCATTCTCCATAACATTTGTCTTGGTGGCTGCTGCTATATTTTTAGTTTGCTGAATATAGTTATTTTACTTTGTCATGGATGTGGGAACAGTCCAACTGGATGAGGATGCAGAGAGCAGGCCGGCCGGCCATGCCATGTATTTTCATGAGTTGTAAGAAAATTTTTGAATATTTTAGGATGATCAGTAATCAAGCTGTATGTATGTATGACACGAGTTTCAATTAAATGCTAGTATAGATCAAGAGATTCAGGTTAAACGAACAACATACAGAGCAGTATGTCATTTTATCTCCACAGTGAACCACTATTCTGTTTCTGCTGGAAAATTCTTTTCTTAAACTATAGTTTTTATGGCTGGTGGCACCTCCTTCAGTAGCAAATACTTCAACCAATTTTTTCCTACACCTATCCATTATTCTTACACGTTAGCCTGCCTTTACTTTAGTCCATTCCAATTCATGAAACTGCTTTAGCTCATTAATATTTAAGGAAGGCATTCTATAATTGCATATTTCAGATCATGCTAAAATATCTTAATTGGGTTAAGGACTGGTGTCTGCTCCAAAATTTCTTCTACTTCAGACCTTCTATTGTAGATTTAGTAACCAAGATAAACATGGTAAAAAGAAAGTTTCAATGATTCTTTGATTTTGCTTAATATTAACTGAACCAGAGAAATATTGCTAGTTTAATAAAATCCTGGCTTAGCACAACTATATGATTTTTCATCGTATATGAGCAGTGGCTGGACGCGCTGATCCCTTGAGGCCCACTTAAATTGATTTATTTTACTGCTGTTCTATTTTGCTCTCTTTCTATTCATTCTAAAACGTTTGTGTACTGACCTATTTTTTTAAAATGTTTCCGTTATGAAATTGTATTGAATTCTCTTTTACAGAAAAATGCTGTAAATAATATGCACAGTTGATGTTTTTAAATATGTTTTTTTGCTTTCTAGAGAACCTCTTTGGATAGTTTATAGAAAATGGTTTAAAATTAAAACAAGTGTGTAGTACAATCTTAAAATAATTTATCAAGGTATAATTAATAAAGGTATTATTACCTTCAAGGAAAGGGTATTCAAAATGAGAATAAAATAGATTATTATAAGAAGGCACAATTTTATTTGTTCTAATGAGTTTTTAAATAAATTTAAAATGTGTGATAAATACAATGAAAATATTTATTTTATTCTGTTATTACTGAATATACACTCACTTTTCTGCTTATTCCAATATTCAAAATAACTTTAACCAATAAAAATGCAAAGTATAAAATATAACAAAATTAATACAATTACAGTAAAAGTTAAATAGTAATTAACAATTAAAAGCTTGGAAAAGAAATGATTGTCTTATCTTAAATACTAGACATATCTGGGGCTTGGGGAAGCCATTGGGATCTATAGCTTCAAGAGTACCGTATTTGCCGGCGTATAAGATGACTTTTTTGCCCCGAAAAACATGCCTCCAAGTGGGGGGGTCGTCTTATACGCCGGTATATCCACTGCCGGCTTTCGGAGGCTTGTTGGACGCAGCGAAGGCGCCTCTGGCTTCCTGGATCCCCTGCGTCGCTTCCGCTTCATCCCGCTCGCCTCGCTCCGCCCGAGGCTGAAGCCTTCCTGCTCTTCCCACGGCCCCTGGCACTCTGCCCTGCCGCTGCAGCCCCGGGGATTTCTGGAGGGCGTTTCCGGTGGTGGTGGGGGGTCGTCTTATACGCCGGGTCGTCTTATACGCCGGCAAATACGGTATATTTTACATATGTTTAGAATCACACATGTTAATAAAGTCCAAAAAAATCTCAGGATCTTGACCCTCTGCATAGCAAGGAGAAATTTGATAACCTCGGGGTTTCAGAACTATGATAAGCTTCTGCAAATATGGATTTTGAAGATGATCTATTTTCCTGCAACATAATCAAAGAATGATTATGTTGCAGAATAGAGCAACAAACTTGATTAGCGGACTGGAGACTAAAACATATGTTAAAAAAAAGGCTGCAATTGTGCATGTCTAATTCAGGGGTCTTCAAACTTGACAGCTTTCAGACTTGTGGACTTCAACTCCCAGAATTCCCCCTCAGTCATGTTGGCTCAGGAATTCTGGGAGTTGAAGTCCACAGGTCTTAAACTTGACAAGTTTAAAACCCTTGGTCTAGTTTAATGAAAAGGACTAGGGGTGACAAGACAGCAGTGTTCCAATATCTAAAGCAGGGGTGTCAAACTTGCACCATCACAGCAGTATCACGTGACTTATTGTGACTTTTTTTCCCTTTGCTAAATTAGGCATGGGTGTGGCCAGCACATGACACATCTGGCCCACGGGCAGCAAGTTGGACATCCCTGATCTAAAGGACTGCCACAAAGAAGGAGTCAACCTATTCTCCAAGCAACTGAAGGCAGGACAAGAAGCAATGGATGGAAAATAACCAAGGAGAGAAGCAACCTAGAACTAAGTAGAAATTTCCTGACAGTGAGAACAATTAATCAGTGGAATAACTTACCCCCAGAAGCTGTGAGTGCTCCCTCACTAGAAGTTTTTAAGAAGAGTTTGTACAACCATCTGAAATGGTGTAGGTAGGGTTTCCTGTCTGAGCAGGGGGATACTCTAGACCAGGGATCGCCAACCTTTTGGATCTCAGGGACCACCAAACTCATAATTTTAAATCCCGTGGACCAGAGACCCTGGGAAAATCCCAAAAAGAGTCTGCAGGAAAATTCCCCACCCCATTTTCCTACCGATTGATCATTTTTTAATTGGGATTGCAGGATATCGTCTCCAGCTCTGTTCTCGGGGGGAGGGAGGGAGAGAGAGAGACTTTTGGCTTCATGCAAGGAAAGCAGCAGAAGTCTCTCTCCCCCAAACTCCACCAGAAATGAATCTTTATCGACGCAGCCTCTTGGAGCAGGATGCCTTGCAGGGTCCCAAAGACTCATTTCTGGTGGGGTTTGGAGGAGAGAAAGAAAAACTTTTGCTACTTTCCTTACGTGTAGCCAAAAGCAGAAGCAGAAAGAGGCAGAAAGAAGCAGCCAGGTGGCCAGGCCAGAAGCGTGGGACAAGTTCCCTCCTTCCGCCCTTTCCCCTCTCCCCTCACTACCTCTTGTTCGCAATGCAAGCGACGCAAGCCTTGTGTTCCTGTGGGCCATGTGGGTGGCGCAGCCTTGTGTTCCCACGCAGCCTGGAATAATTGCTTTGGGGGTGACATTTCTCTGCAGACCACCAAAATTTTCTCGTGGATCACCAGTGGTCCCCAGCCCACTGGTTGCCAACAATTGAACTAGACAATCTCTAAGGTCTCTTCCAACTCTGTTATTCTGTTGATTATTCTGATTTAACTAAGGTTGAAGCAAATGCCTCTGAACTCTTCCTGTCAACTACACAAGAAAAAGGAAATCTTAAATATTAAACCATGGTTTAACTTGTTGACAAAACCATAATTGTCTGTTTACATCAAATTGCCAGATTCACACAAAATTCTAAGTGAATCATGTTACAGTTAGCATATTGCATAAAACCATGCTATAAATGGAAGCTGAACTGCACTGATATTCCACCAAGATATGATTTAACTAAAGTTTGCTTAACACTGACCAAACTTGTAAAAAATACTAAACCAAAAATCAATTATGATATAGCAACATGAGAACTATATTCATATAATTTACAGAATTACAAAGTAGCCAGACCATTTCAACTATGTTAAAATATATATTTTATACAAACCCAGTCATTGCTGATAGTTATATGAAAACTCAGAAGATTCAGCTAATTTGATTAATGTTAAGTTCTTAATGAGTAAACATGTAATCAGAACATAAGTCATGGATGGAACCATCAAAGATATCTTTATTGTCTTACCTTTGATGACACTCACAGTTATCTTTCACACATGGCCTGTAGTTCTTCACTGCCTCATCAATTCGAACAAGAATTTTTTTCCAGTGTGTATCTAAAATTTAAACAGAAACATTTTTGCAAATATCATTATTATTTCCACTGTGGTGTTGATACAGGTAGTGCAAGGTTTTCATATACAGTATGTTCTATGAATACTGTGCCTGCAATATGAATGAAATTGGATTTACAATTTTATGATAAAGGTATTCATTTTTCCTCTAATTCTACTTGTTCCAAAAATATGAAAACATACAAAAAAGCACCAAACAGTTAAATTATTTTCCCTTAAATTATACAATTAAATAACTACAGTGAAATACATTATGAACTTCTTACTAAATACTAAGTATATTAAAATATTTGTCTTGCAACTTAAAATTGATGTATCATTGTATCTCTTTAATTTCCTTTGAGCCTTTAGCATGTTGAATATTATTTTGCTCTTTTTTCCTTGAATAATAAAGTATTGTTTTTCATATAAACTGCTCTGAGTTCTGATAAACATGAGTTAGCCAATAGATAGATTAACAGTGGTACATTAATTGGATCGAAGAAAAAAAAGGGACTTACAAACTAGAGAGAGATTAAAAAGTTATAAAGTTATAAAATTTGCCTACAATTTAATTCATCTGCATGAATAATTTATTTGCACAGTATAGTTTTTATCAAAAAGGTCAATGTATAGCATAAGTAGATGAGGTGTAGAAGTAACTATCACTGAAAGCTAATGTATTTTATTTTATTTATTATATTATTTATTTAAATGTTCTTCATTTACTCAGTTTCTCAGTTACAAATTTCTTTCTGGTATCATCTACGCTTATGCCCACAGAATAATGTGGCTTTAAATGCAGTGGCACTGAGGTAACATTTAATCTTGTGAGTAAAACTTTGTAATGACATTTTGTATTGCAAATAATGTTGCATTACATCATTCTAGTCTTCTGACACTATATAGTCCAGTCAGAGCTGGAACGAACAGTTACCATATGTTAAAAGCAACAAGTGAGCAGAAATGGCTTTCATTTTCCAATGTCCAAAGGGGGGGGGAATATACTCCAGCAATGCTTACATTATTGCTTAAACAAGTCTACAGATGCAATTTTACCTGGATAAACGTTTCTTTTTCATTAATTATTTAATATGCAGAAAGTCCCCACTTGATTCGGAAAAGTTGCTTCAGAGGTAAAAAGGAAGCACAGGAAAAGATGCAGCTAGTCAAAATGGACACAGACATGTTATGTCAAAACACTTTTTTTTAATTGAATCAAAGTGCTGCACCGTTCTAATAAATTACAAAAGCAAATGCTATCATATTGTTTTTTATGACTAAGATTTCTCAGTCTGTTTTCTAATGTATAAAAAGTACTGCTTCCAGATGTGTGAAATTCCTAGAATTAGTCGTGATGCCAAAGATTTCTGATAAATTGCAGGATATCAGGTCGTAGACAAATCTTAATTTAGTGTTTTAATTCGGTAAATTTTATTTTTAATAATTTGCAAAACAGTATAATATTGAGAATGGTTAAAGCATGTTTAGGAAACAAGTTCCAGGTGAATGTTCAAATCTCTGGCAAATAAGAAAAAAGGAAACTTATAAAGGAATAGTGATATTGACCCCTGCACAACGAATGACTCCAGAGAGTCAAGAATGAGGTGGTGCAGAAAGAATTCCTGGATCCCATAGATTAGCATGCTGCAAAACAAAATTGTATCGAGATACGTTTCGGTGCCATTTGTTTCCAATCAGTGAAAAATCATCCTAAGAACACTCACCTGCTGAGCTACTTCCCCAGCACACAATAAACAGAAACAGAATAAAAACATGTAAAACCCCAAGAGACAACTGCAGACGCCGCATCACGCCGAATACAAAAACTACAACTTTAACGCATGCGCCCAAACATCCTCCCGAATTTCACTGGAAAAATTCATTGAAAAAAGGAAACGCGAGTTGCACTAGCCCCGCCTCCATCGATAGCAATTTACACGCAAACTCAGAAGAAAAGACCCGGCGCCGGCGCCCCGTTGGTTTATGGGGTTTGTAGTTTGTTAACAGAAAAAACCGTTTCGGATTGTGCATCTTCTGTATTGACAGCAGAACCGTGTTAATTCCGCCTTCTAATATATAAAGATGTAGATTATTGACATTGACAGATTATTGACAATGATTTCATTTCAAACAGACGCAGTGCTCTCTCCAAACACAAAAACCTGTTGATATCCAGATAGTTTTTGCTTGGAGATCAGCCCTTTGGGCTCCGTGATTTCTTACTTGAGTTCTGAATGCTCAAGTCCGATGTAAGCAGCAACCGAGGGAGGAGTTAGTGCATAGTTGCATCGGAACTGCCTGTTAGAAAATGGCTTCGGCCCGTTGACGCCACTTATTGTCTCCTAACATCCGAGCTTCGTCAAATCTGCGATGTGTTCCGAACCGCCACGGGGACGAAGCTGTTGGTGGACCATGCGGGAAGGCCTATGCGGCCAACTGCGGGAAAAGATACCTCCAGAGGACCCTGGCTATTTATGGTTAATGGCAGGAGTTAACTTGTAATTTGTATTGGAGGATTTGTATGGAAACCTAATTCAGTATTTATTAATCACTGTCCAGAGCCTAAGAAATTTGCAGGATCACATCCATGCCGAATATGTATTAAACAGCAGCTTTGCCGTATGGTTTATTTTAGCATACTCTAGTCTAGGGGGTTAGCGGATCTGCAGGGTATTAGATGAACTTGGAAAATGAGGTTGGAAAAGAATCACGATTCTGTTAATCATAGATAAGCTGTCCTGCAAATATAGCACTTCAAGTTGCCAGGTTTTCTGTGTTTGGTAAGACAATGCAGTTGTACACAAATTGGAAGAAGTATGGGTTTGTGAGAACAAAACGGTACTAACATAATCAGGAATCTTTTTTTGTAGGTAGTGTGTTGCAAAACAAAAACATAAATTTGTAGCTATGTTGGATGTTACATTAAACAATGAAAAGGGAAAACTCTGAAGCATAATTATTATAATCAAATATGTAGAGAGGAAAATTGGCAACATTGTTTAAAGTGAGTGATCTCCCAATGACCCAAAACCTTGAGGAAAAACAGCACATATTTAATCTCTGCTATTCTGCTCGAATTGATTGCCAGATGAAACACTCTTAACAGGCTAAAGCTTGTATTAGTTGATGAGAAATGTACTGTTACATAACAGAATAGAAGAAAAGGAAATATAGAAGAAAGGGAAGATTTTCAAATAATATCCCTATAGTAAAGCTCATTCATCAGTTGCAATCAGCATTTCAAATGGAAAAATTGTCTTTACTGTGACTTGATGTGCACTGCAGCTGTTTTGGAAAAATAAAAATAAAACTGTTTTCCCACAAAGATAAAAGAATGCAATTACCTAAGTAGGAAGCTGATTCAGAAGTAATGCAAAAACACAATATAGAAGAGTCCCAAACCCTCAGGAGTTTTGAAATGGATCAGATGTGAATCCTGTGAAAACAGATATTACATTCACTACAGTGTACCATCATTTATTTATTTATCAAATTTATATATGATCCTTCCTGCCTAAGTGACTCTGGATAGTTTATAAATAAAAGCCATACAGTCATATAAAAGAAACATAGATAGAAACAAAGTGAAAAAAAGTTTTAAATTTAAAAAGGCAGAATACCCTCAAGCCACCAACCAATCCTCAGGACTGCATGTCATTCTTAGATTCTCAAGTCAGTGGCAGAATCTGATCTTGATATTCTTCAGAAAGACTAACAGAATAGGGCCCACCTCATCTCCTGTAGCAAAATATTCAGTAGGGCAGGGCAACAGAAGAAAAGTTTTCCTTCCTAAACCTGTCAATCAAATTCTTTGAACTACAGGGTGCACAACATACCTTTCCTACCTAATTGAGTTGAGGAATGAGTTGATGTAATTGGGACAAGATGGTTCCAGAGATAACCTGTTCCATTTAGGGCTTAAAATGTAACTATTGGACCGGCAGCTCCTGGATATCCTTAAAGGATAGCTCCATGAAGAGTCCATTGTGGTGGTCTATCCAAAAGATTATCAAGGCATGAGTGACTGAAAGAAGAGCTGCTTGATAGAGGAAGGGGGCATATCCGGCACATTTTCTCATTAATATTTTTCATTCTTTTCAGATTCACGGAACGTTTAATTTTGCGAAGTAGGTGAACATTAGAAAGGAAAAGCTTTTGCAATTTACTGCCACACTGAACCAAGTAATGCAAGAACAGACTCACTCTCGGTATCATTGGACAATAGTTAAAAACCTTAGGTGAAATTGTTGGGCTTTCTCTTTTTGCTTTGCTAGAATTTTAGGACAATATATGTATTTATTGAAAGTGCTAAATATTAGCTAAAACTATCTTTCCATCAGAATTTAGTCTCATTTGCTTCAAATAAATGTTTCACTACTATAAGATTACAATGCTAGTATTTGTTCAGATTTGATTAATATTTATTTCTAAGTAAAATTTCTTAAATATTTCTTGGTAACATAAGGTAGAAAAAGAAAATAGAAAAATGGAAAAGGATTTGTATTTACAATAGGCTCTTCAATATTACACATACTCATATGTGACAATAAGTATTCACTACATTCAGAGGATTGTTTTTTGAAAGTAGATTGGAATGGGTTGAAAAATCTGAAGAAATTTAACATATTTTGAGTCTTATACAGGTAATCTTCAATTTATGACCATAATTGCATCCAAAATTTAAGTTGCTAAGTGAGACATTTGTTAAGTGAATTTTGCCCCATTTTATGACTTTTTTTTGCCATATTTGTTAAGTGAATCACTGCAGTTGTTTAAATTAGTAACACAGTTGTTAAGTGACTCTGGTTTCCCCATTGACTTAGCCTGTCAGAAGGTTGCAAAAGATGATCACATGACCTCAGGATACTGCAACAGTCATAAATGTGAGCCAGTTGTCAAGCACCTGATTGTAAATCACATTGTCAGGGCTCCGGTAGTTACCCCCATTTAAATCATGAGTCTCTAGCCTGATTTGCAAAGCTCAAAGAAGATTTATTAGGAGAAGACATGCCGGTGCTGCTTGGGTGTAGCCGACTCTGAGACACATCATTCATTGTCACCCTTGACCCTGGTTTTCCCCCACCCCCTGGGTGTATCATAATTCATATTCTCCAGTGGGACACATCCATAGCCAAGAGTCATCTATCATACTCTCCAGTTAGAATTTTGAAGGGCAGAAACTTTGGTCGCCTGGAAACTATGAAAACTTCCATGGAATACAGTTTCGGTTTTGCAGCTGCTACACTACTCCCCCTTCCCTTTCTCTTGGCAACTCTAAAAGACCAAAGAAATATTTTACAAGTTGACACACATGACCATGAGGATGCTGCAACAGATACAAGTGAGAAAAATGGTCATAAGTCTCTTTTTTCAATGCTGTTATAACTTTGAATGATCACTATGTGAATTATTTTAAGTCGAGGTCTACCTGTACTTGCTGGTGATCATATTTCTTCTACCTTCTTAATAGCCCATGATATTTTTACTACAAATATGTAATATTGAAAGAAATTAATTTACTTGGAGACACCAGTAATCTGTGATTATCATTCATATCTGAGTAAAATTTATTGCAGTATTGTAATGTTCATAATTGTCCTGGTGGCATTCCATATTGTTTTTGTGTTATCTCTTGTGTTCTGACAACCAGAGTAGATTGAGTTGTTTCATGGAAATATAAGACTCAACATCTGCAGATAGCAGGAACTTAAAAAGAAAGGAGTCCTTTCAGAATATTCAGAATGTATTTCAGTATTGTCACAAAGGAAACAATAGATGGACTGGAGAATTTATTCTGAATCTAATCACTGTCTTCATCAGTGAGGGAATTCATGTCTCTTCATATGTGTGTGTACTTTAAATATAACTGCTCCAATTACAAAAAAGTCTTCCAAAACTTTAAATGAGATTATTCAGTGCAGAAAAGTATATTGCCATAGAGAAAACATAAGCATCTGGGGAATCCCCCATGCCCCCTTATTGCAGTCTCTTGTTAAATAACTCGTCAAACTTCCATTTGAGGTTTTGTGATTTCAGAGTTCAATAGCTTTCTCCAACTAATCATCCCAGGAGATAAACTGCCAATAACAGATAATTAAGTTGCATGGGGCTCTATTAAAACTTTACGAGACAATATTTTTGAGATCTATACTTGCAAATTAGCTGCAGTGGGCATTGTTAAGAAGATACTGTTTGCATAAGAAATAAACAGAAGAAGGATGTACATTAAGCATATTCTCCATTGGCTGAAAATTGCAGCAAATTCATTTTAATCCATTCCAAAATTAGAAACAGAGCCCTGAGCATTCATTAAGGATGCTGTTGCTCATCAGACAGACGCATCAGGGCAGAACTCCAGAGACAAACTGATGAGATGATTCACTTAATGATAAAATGCAAAAGAAATTGAAAACCAGTACAAACTTTTTCTAAACTAAATAAAAGAGCTAGTGCTTGGAAAGACTGATATTCATATCATTCATTCATTCATATATACATATACATTTACATATACACACACACACACACACACACATATATGCAGGTCTTGACATGTTCAGGTCTTTTCCCGCATAAGATTGAGAGTACTCTCAATCTTACATGGGAAAAGACCCGAACATGCCAAGACCT